TGGGCTTCCTGGTGGAATTTTGTCCAGATGAGTAAGGAGACTCTTTCTATCTCAACCCTGCAGTCACCTCCACGGATGCTGCTGGAAACCCACGGGTCCGCTGGGTCAAGGTGCCCCTCTGGTAGCGAAGACGGGGAGAGGATACCTGTACAAACTTCCAGGACTAGAAGAGGAGCCTCTGCAAGTGAAGACCCAGGGTGGCAACGCGCTTGGGTGGCGCTCTCTGCAGGTGGCCATCCGCAGGAACTGGGGTGCACGCAGAACCTTTGTGAATTTCCACGCTCAGCATGGCACGTTTCTTACCGGTGAAGAATGGAAAAACCAGCTCCCGAAGACAATGGCTGAGATGTGAGGTGTATCTGTATCGCTGGGAATTAAAGTCGGACTCGCACTCTCAATTTTCAAGTGTGACTGGTTGGTTCTTTTTCCTGTGAAGCCCACCGTGGGTCAGCGGTTCCACGGGGAATTTGTTAGTGTAAGGGAGAGGACTGTGAGGGAAATGCATCACAATGCGACCTCTAATACGGTCTCAGACGTGTGTGAAACCAAAGCAACGAATCATGCTTAACCTCCAAACCAAGACGACAGTCCTCTCCCATATGACCCAAACACACCAGCTCCTTCCCCCGGAGGATGCAAAGCCCCTTTATCCATCCTTGGCTGATGTCATTGCTCTTCGACCTTAATTCCTCGTAACTTAAATACTGAGATATAAAGTTAACTACTGTTAGTGCATTTTATGTGAGATGGCAGGGAAACGGGAGAAGGAGAGGGGAAAGATGGTTAATATATAAACGAACAGATTCACATGGAAATACGAGTGAAACACTCCGAGCTCTCCAGCCCTCGTTTCTGTACCGGATCCCGCAGTCATGGCTGGTATTTAGAACTCCCTTCTCGCACAGCAGTCTGTATTCCCTTTGCTCCCAGAAAGCCTCCGAGTGTGGCCAGCCTTAGCCAGAGACAGAAAAGGGGACATTCTTGCAAACGTAGTTGGCTCAGCCCAGTGACACACAAAGATACCCCACCCCTTCCATTTGTAGTGGTGAAACAAATTTCCCATTTTGCACACATCTGTTTAAGAACACTGTCAGTGGGGCCAGCCGGGTGGCAGAGTGGTTAAGTTCACGCACTCCCTTCGGTGGCCAGGGGCTCACAGGTTCAGATCCTGGGCACAGATCTAGCACCGCACGTCAAGCCACTCTGTGGCAGCAACCCACGTGAAATAGAGGAAAGATTGGCACAGATGTTAGCTCAACGACAATCTTCCTCACACACACACAAAAAGAACACTATTAGTCATTTAAGAAAAATATTGTCATATTAGTGTAGGTGGATATAATATGCAAATAACCAAAGAATGGGAAACACTGACCCATAGGATTAAATACAAACTCCTTGGCTTGAAAACTATGTGATTCCACAGAATCTAGCCCCTGCCCAGCTCTCCCCCTGAGTCCACCACATGTGTCCCATAGCTCCTACCTTCCAACCATCCAGACACTCACCGCTCCTAACCACATCAGACCCTTTGCATGTAGTGTGACTTCGGTCTGGAATGCCTCCCCTCCAGTCCTCTCCTTGCAAACGACTTCTGACCCAGCAAGACTTCTCCTGTGAGGCCACTTGGCTCCCGTGGTAGAGTCAGTTGCTCTGTCCCCCACAGCCCATTCCGCGGTAGGATCGTTTTTCCACGTCTCCTTCTCCCACTGGGCTGTGAGCGTGTCAGCAATGCCCGTCAACACCTGGGGCCTGCCCGCTCTGCACCTGGAACAAGCCCCTCCCAAGACATGGCCCTCCCCTCCCCTCAGGCTTTGCTATCCAGCCCATGTTGGCGCCTGTCTTAGGTTCTCCAGAAGCAGATGGCAGAAGACCATTTGTGTGTAAGTGTTTGGCCAAGGAAATGCAGCCGGGGGAGGCTAGTGAGAGAGGGGGGGGCGCAGCCCGGGAAGGGAGGAAGGGGGAGGTCCCGGGCAAAGTCCCACAGCGGGGAAGAAGCTTCTGCTTCATCCCAGGCTCCTCGGGAGCAGCAGTGGTGTCTCAGACTTGTCCCGACCTGAGACCTGAGGCAGGGAGCTGAGCTTTCACATTCCCACACTCTTCAGAGTTCGGTCAGGGGCCATTTCCCCTTCTCTGGGAGTGTGTGAGTGGCAGATGCTGCTGTGGGGAGCCTGGCAGGGCAGGGGGAGCCCACCCATCTGAAAGAGGATCCATCCAAGGAGATGTGGGCTGAGAGTCAACGTTTGCCCAAGCCGCTCCTTGCTCCACACAGACCCACTCCCGTCCCACATGGATCCCGCTCCAGGTGGAGAACACCGGCCAACTAAGGGCTGCTGGGATTCCTGCAGCCCCCGCCACTGCGGTGGGCCCTGAGGGCCTCGCTGATGCTCCTCATCTCCCCCCTCCTCCTGGAATCCCCTCGCCTTCAGCATCCCTGCTGATCCAGGGGGCTTGTCTGATGGGATAACTTCGCCCCTGAGGGGTCAGAGCCCCTGGTTGAAAGACTGGATATGCCAGTCCCCTCAGGGAATGGTTACTCAGGGAAATGGCTGTTGCCTACTTGGGGAAGGACTGAGGAAATCACCACTGTATACCATACTGTAAAGAGTGGCACTGTAAAGTCCGTCCCCAGGGGACAGCTTCTCACAGGGAGGGACGCTCCCCACAGGCAGCTTCTCCTGTGGTGGGTGGGCTCTGCCTCAGATCTAGGAACTGGGAACAAGACGGTGACTTTCCATTAGAGAAGCTGACGTTGGTCTTTCTGTTTTTGGATAAGTGTCAAGCAATACCTTAGTTGGCCGCCCATCCATCTTGGCCCTGGGAACACCGTGTTCGTTACCCATTGCCTAGACCTCCTTGGGCATGGGCCTCCTGGTTCCCAGCCCAACCCGACTGCCCATTTCAGGGACTACGTCTACTTTGCCCTGTTGGTTAAGCGCTGCTTATAGCCACTGCTACTCCGGGATCCTGCCACCCCGTTGACATGAGGGAGTCCAGTTCCATGACTGCACCTCCAACATCAGCCCTGGTCTACAGAAAACAGCCCCTGCTGAGCAACCGGCTGAGGTCAGCGCCCTCTCGCCAGCACATTCCTTATCTCCGTAGGGCAAGGAGCACCCTCTGGGCTCTCCCGAGAGCATAGTCAACAACGGGTTCTCAGGAATAAAACAGATCTATTTTCTCTGGACCTCGGACATCTTCCTTGACACTCTGCCAAGGCAGTCCTGGCAACTCCAGCTTATTTAATGTGGGCCATGGTCATGTCTGAGCTTCCAGAGCCATCTCAGGAGAGCCTGGCTCTGGCTCCAGGTGCCCTTGCCAGGGCATTACACTTAGGTGGGCCACAGAGGAGTGCTCCCAATCAATAAAGCCTCCCTGGCCAGCCTCATAGCCCCCGACTCCCGGCCCCTCGCCCTCCAGGCCCACTCCTGGGCATGCTCCCTGCTTCCTGCCTGTACACATTAGCCAGCTGGTGAATAATTCCTCCTCTCCCTGAGCAGAGCCAACACTTCCCAGCCGGGCTGTGCTGGGCCCCGAACCTTGTTACAGGTCTAGTGACCAGGAAGGGAGGCGGTGGCAGATCTGAAGGAGGGCAAAGGTTGTCTTGAAAGACATCTGCCGCATTGACACCTCAGCATGGTCTCCGGACAAAGTGGGGGCACAGCTGATATTTTTTGCAAGGCAAAATGGGCCACTTCTGCACGCCCAGAGGGTTGGGGGCAATGTGGGGGCTCGGTGTTCTCAAGCACGTCGCCCAGATATCCTCAGTCCAAGCCGGAGGGTCTCACTCCCTCCACATCAGGGCCCCGACGTGGGAGGAGTGCAGCCTCCTCTGAAGTCCCACTGCCCTTGCGTGAGGCCCCCCGCCTGGTCTCCTGCAGTCGGCCCTGGGCGAAGGAAATGAGGGTCTCCTTAGACACTGCACGGAGGCCTCGGACTGTCCCTCTGTGCCTTAAGTTAATTAACTGTGGACCCAAACCTCTCATTTTCCCTCATCATGGCATTAGCTATGCTCAGCAAAACCAACCACGTCCCCACTCCTGTCACAACCCTTGCTCCCACGTCTCTCAAGTGCATGACGCGGGGTGTCCTCTCCCACCTGGTACCCCGTCCTGTCCATCAGCACAGCAGCCAGGGGTCACCACTCACCACCCACAAGGCGGATCCTGTTGCTACGATGGGCCGATGATCCAAGCCCAGAATCCCACCCTTAGACTTCACTCCCAAGGGCCACTGTTACCACCACCAGTCTGGGGCTCCTGAGAAGCAGGCCTTGAAACAAGGATTCGTGTGCAAGCGATTTATTAAGGCCGTGCTCCCAGGGGGTGTCAGAGTAAGGGCAGTGGGACAGGAAGGGAGAGGAAGCAAAGTCAGGGTGCCTTCTCAAGCAAATCCCACAAAGGAGCTCCGATGAGAGCCCACAGGCCCACTCTGGAGGGTGCTTCCCGCCTCCGAGCTGTCCCCACGGGAAGCACAGAGCTTGGCTTGTGGCGTCCTCCCATACCTGTCTCTCCTGGGCTCAGGGCCATCATGGGGGAAGCAATTCTGAGGTATGTCCAGCCCTCTGCACAAGGGGTCAAGGGGCACCCGCAGCCCCAGGGTCCTCCAGCAAAGATGGGTTGAGGTGGGGATTCTCGGAAGCAGAGGCTGGACGACAGAGGGACACAGAATGGGAAAAGGAGCTGAGAGACTGGTTGGGTGTCCGGGCTGGGAGGGGCCTCAGGACACCCCTCCAACAACAGCACGTATGCTCACTACTATCACAACACTCCTCAAGTGTCTACCCTCTGGTCCCTGTCCCTCCCGTGAGGGTTTGCTGAATAAGCTCATCCCTGGCCAAGGGCCTCAGGCTAGAAGGAAGGTCTGGGGTGAGGAGCACCGGCCATAGGCGTGGACCAGAAGTCCCTTGCTCTAGTACAGCCCGGGAAAAAGTTCCATGGAAACAAAGCGCAGCGGCGAGACACAAAATCCAGGGGTGAAAACACAGACAGGACAGTGTATCTCTTCATTTAAATTTATTTTTCATCTTTTGTTTCTCACTTACCAACACACTTGTAAAACGTAGCAGGCTGTGTTAGTAAAAGAGAAGCAGGGAGGAAAAGAGGGGGCAGGATGGAAGCAGCCACACATGGGAAGTCAGGGGCAGGAAGCGTGGGGGGCAGAGTGGTGGGCAGCCTCCCCTACCGTCCTGCCCTCCCCAGGCATCGGCGATCGCTCCTGCTCTTACGGACCCCCAACACTTTTGTAAACGTCGTAAACAGCATTTCTCTTGCTTCCAACTCTTCTTTCCAACATTCTCCCTCTGACCCCCAGCCTGGCCCAGGAGAACTGCGCCCCTGGTGCTCAAGGCCCCAACCCCATAGTCTCAGTCCCTGGGCAAGCGTCTGAGAAGCCTAGAGCTGGCAGATCCCGGGGACGCCAGGGCTACCCCAGAGCTCTTTCCTGGGGGCCACTCCTTTGGACCTTGGAGAGCACTCCCAGAATGCCCTCTGCTTCAGCCACAGGCTTCTATTCAAGAGGACCCCGGGCATGGGAACAAGGCAGCAAAGAGGCCGAGAGCCAGCCTTGCATGCTTGCTGGGACCCTGGGTTACCCTGGAGCGAAGGTTCTGCCTCCGCCCAGGGCAGGACTTCTGGCATTTGCACACTGACCCAGTGGACACTCTGACCCTGTGTTCATGAACACAAACATTTTAATCAGGATTACATCCACCCTGATGAATTTTCATTCTAGAAAGGATTTTCAAGGCAAATGCCACTGAGGACAATTAAATGCCTTGATCAGTTTCCGACATAGTGCAGATCAGTCTCCTTTTTTCCCCATCTTTTTTTTTTTCCCCTTGGAATAATTTTCGCCAGGATCAAATCCTTTTCATGTGCGTTTTACCACATATATTTGATTCCCTGGTTAGTGGCCCATCTGTGTCAAACGTCATCAATTGTCACATCTGCCTCTGCCAAGTTTTCTCCTGTAGCTGTCGCGTCTAGGAAGTCCAATTTTCCCGGGGAAAACCTTTGGCGGACCTCTCACCCAAGGGCGCCCCCTAACCAATCGGGACCGCTGGGCAATACCCGGGCTGTGTCAGCCGCATGGGTTTTCCTCCTGCGGAGCGTTTCTGAGGGTGAACCTGTGATCTGCACTCCCCGCCTCGGGTCATCGGGGAAAGGATGTAAGCCTTTTCCCAGCGACATTCCAGGATGTCCCGAGAGAGACCGCGGAAGGGGTGGCGACGTCCCAGCATGGGCTTGCCGGCCTCGATCGCCCGGGTCACGGGGCCTTGTCCGCCGCCCCCGCCGCCGGCTCGGAACGCTGGGGCCCGGAGGCAGGGGTGCGCGCTCCCCGCAGCAGGCCGAGGCCCCGGGAGCGGCCGGCGCCGTGCAGCTGGCGCTCGTGGCGGCGGATCTGCACCTTGTGGCGGAAGCGCTCGCCGCAGTCCTCGCACACGTAGGGCCGCTCGCCCGAGTGCGTGCGCCGGTGGCGCAGCAGGTTGGAGGAGACGCTGAAGCGCTTGCCGCAGTCGCCGCAGGCGTAGGGCCGCTCGCCGGTGTGCGTGCGCTGGTGCTGCACGAGCGCCGAGCTCTCGCTGAAGCGCTTGGCGCAGTAGGAGCAGGCGTAGGGCTTCTCGCCCGTGTGGATGCGCTGGTGCGTCACCAGGTTCGAGTGCTGCGAGAAGCCCTTGCCGCACTCGCCGCAGCGGTGCGGCCGCTCGCCCGTGTGCGTGGCCTGGTGCCGCACCAGGTCCGTGCTGCGGCTGAAGCCCTTGCCGCACTCGCCGCAGATGGTCGGCCGGTCCCGCGCGCGCCGCCGCCGCCGCTGCCGGCGCGGCGTGAGCGCCGCGCTGCCCGCCGGGCCGGATGCCACGACCGCGGGCGCCGCCACGGCCGGCAGCACCATGAGCTCCTGCAGCACCACGTAGCCCGGCGGGGCCACCACGACTGCGGCGGGAGCCCCCGGGACCGACGCCCCGCCGTCCCCGGCGGCGGGCACCAGCTCCAGCTGCAGCTCCGGCTGCACGGGCGTCAGCTCCAGCTGCACCTCCTGCTGCGGGGCCCCCAGCTCCACCGGGGTCAGCTCCAGCTGCACCTCCTGCTGCCCCTCCAGCTGCTGCTGCTCCAGCTGCTGCTGCTGCTCCAGCTGCTGCTCCAGCTGCTGCAGCTGCTCCTGCAGTTTGAGCTGCAGCTGCCGTTGTTCCTGTTGTCTCTCCAGCTCCTGCTGCCGCTGCTGCTCCAGCTCCTGCTCAGCCGCCAGGTCCACAGGCATGAGCTCCAGCTCCACCTCCTCCTCCTCTTCCGGCTCCAGGGGACGGGGCTGCAGCTGCTGCTGTTGCAACGGCTCCTGCTGCTGCTGCAACAGCTGCTGTTGCTGTAACTGCTGCTGCTGCAACAGCTCCTGTTGCTGTAACTGCTGCTGCTGCAACAGCTGCTGTTGCTGTAACTGTTGCTGCTGTTGTAGCTGCTGCAACTGTTCCTGCTGTGGCTGTAACGGTTCCTCCTGTTGCTGCTGCTGTAACCGTGCCTGCTGTAACAGCTGCTGCTGTTGCAACGGCTGCTGTGGTTGTAGCTGTGCCTGCTGTTGCTGCAACAGTTGTTGCCCTGGCACTGGCTGCTCTTGTGACTGTCCCTGCTGCTGCAGCGGCTGCAGTTGTGGTTTCGGTCGCTGATGCTGCACGGGTTGGGGTTTTTCCTGTCGCTCCTGCTGTTGTTGAGACGGCTGCTGCGGCCCGTCTTGCTGCTGCGGCTGTAACTGTTCCTGCTGCTGCACCGGCTGTAGTTGTGGTTTCAGTTGCACAGCTGGGGGTTTTTCCTGTAGCTCCTGCTGTTGCTGAGACAGCTGTTCTTGTCCATCTTGCTGCTGCCGCAATTCTGGCTGATGTCCTAACAGCTGGCTTTGTGGTTGCTGCTGCGGCAGCTGCTCCCGCTGTGGCTGTTGTCGCGGCTCTGGTTGCGGTTCTGACTGTTGCAGCTGCACCTCCTGCCTTTCTGGCTGGGCTTTCTCGGTGATTCCACTGGCCCCCATCGGGGCTGAGGCTGCTGGCCGTGGTGGGCTGCTGCTCCTCTCCTGAGCCTCTTCTTCCTCCTGACTCTCACTCCCACCACTGCCACCTGTAGTGGAAACGGCAGGAAGCCAGGAGAGGAGCATCTACAGGCAGCTCTCTGGCACAGACCCCAGGACCTTCCCACCTACCCTGCCCCACGTACAGTGACTCTAGGACACCCTATTGAGCTCACATCAGAGACCCAGAAGCACTGGACCAAGTGACAATGGCAGCATGGCAGAAACTAAAATGCCCAGAGGTGTGAGGTTGGCTTAGAAATGTGCCCAAGGGACTGCTGGTCACATCATGCTGGACCCCAGCTCCCTGACCTCTCCTCTGGGCCTTCCTCCACACAAGTTCCATGCTTAGATCCCGGCAGTGGCACCAGCATGGGTGCCGGGGCACCCAACACCATTCCCTGACAAGTCCCTTGTGCTTACCCGCCATCCAGTGGGAATCCATGAACCAGCCATTCCCACAGCCAAGCCACATGTCTATGCTGAACTCTGACCTCAGTTAGAGTCACACCTTAAATAAATGAAACTTGCCTTTTCTGTAAAGAATAGAGAATTCCTCTAAAGCTGCCTGGAAGTGTTTCCACAAGTGGTTTCGAAAAGTCACCGAAGTGTCAGAGAGAATGTGAGGTTTCCAGCAGGAAGTTCTCAGTTCAGACCCTAACTCTACCAGTTAGCAGCTGTCTAACCTCCTGCAGGCTCAGAGCCCTCCTCGTCTGTAAAAGAGCTCACTGATACCCACACCGCCAGCTCAGAGAGTGCAACAGGAAGGGCCCTGTCATATCCCCTAGAACCTGGTAGGTGCTTGAAAAATCCCCCTTCCCGTGGGTTGGGAATTAGTTTGTAAACTAAAACACAGTTTAGAAATCCCAAAGGTACAACTAGCTCCCTTTGAAACAGCCTAAGGACTGGAAATGCTTCGTTATTCTGGAATAGAAAGGACTAGCTCATAGCACCAAGGCAATGTGGTGACTGGCCAATTTCTTAACCTCTGGGAACCTGAGTCTCCCGATCTGCAAAAGGAGGTAAATCCTCTTCAGGGACGTTGTGAGAATTAGAGGGTATAAATGTACAGGCCCAGGGTAGCGCAGGAAGAGAGTAAGTCCTGCTAAACGGGAGGCGCTCTGTTGCTGCGTTTCACTTTCTGCACAGCATCCACCTGCAGTTTCTCACTCTACGCATTACTCCTGTGTTACCAGGAAGTCCCAATTCCTCTTTACATGTGGGATCCTAAGAGGCTTTCTCTGTCCCCCGGTTTGTTCCTCTTGCAGCATCAAATTTTCTATTTTGCAATGGAAAGCAGTGTTTTGATTTATAAAAGTTTGCTTTCTGGCCACTTTTCCAGGAATATATTGCCTTAGTAAAACCAAGAGATACCTACATGTAAATAACTTCCTTTTAGAAAACTTCTATTCCTAATAATCTTTGCTGAGGCTAAGGGATCAGTGAGCACATTTCTTCCTATACACTCACACCAGTTGGGAGTACGCGGGTGGTGGGTGAGAACAGCCATGAAAACCTGTGCCCCAGAAAGTCCAAGGTCTCAGACACTCCCTTCTCCCACCACTTTGGGGAGCGGGGGACACATCACACCTCTGTAGGAGTCCTCCCATGTGTAGCAGGGCTCGGCCATGTGACCACTCCCGACTTCCTGCGGCAGCATTTTTAACGATGACGTTTTAGTTAATGGATAGTAAGGTGTCGCCTGATGTGTGTATTCTCGCAAGATTTCTGTCAGTTAAATTTACAAGGCAGAAGAGTCCTCGTTCCGTCCACTGTGTCCCACCTGACCCTCCCATCCATTCCCTTGGTCCTTTTCATGCTCTGTCCAACCCTGCCCCAGCCCCTCGCTCTGCACCCAAAGCACAGAGCAGAAAATCGGCTCCCAGGGGCCTGGCCATCATAGGTTTGTCTAGAGTGGGTTCCAGAGGGAGAGGCAGCCTTGGGAGGTTCTGCAGGGCCACATTTGCCTCTGGGCAAAGGGGGAGAAAGATGGATGGAAGCAGAGGTCAAGGAAAAGCGGCCCAGATCAGAGGCCACAGGGAAAAGAGAAGCCATGGGGCTAATGCCTGAGGCACAAGGGGCAGAGAGAGAGAATTCGATCTGGGAACTTGAGTCTGGAGCTGGGGACAGGTGGGAGGACAGTGGGGGCCACCTGACCGCTGGGGAAACAGCAGCACACATCCGGGGTCGGGGGCATGAGCTGAGACTGTCTGCACCGCCAGGGAACCCGTCAGCAGCATGACCGCAGCCCGACAGAGCATGTTACTCCAAGCAGCTGAAGTCGGCTGGGGTGAGCAGGTGCGGCCCGCGCTCCATGCCTGAAACTGCCAGGTGGGCACCCTCCCAGACGGCAAGCTGCCCTCCTCAGGGCCCCTCTCTCGGCCGGGCAGGCCTGGCTTGTCCAAGGATTCTCACGGGGGACCTGAGGACTATCCCCTGGTCTAGGAGGTCAGAGGTCCCCCCAGACCCTCACCTGAGAGGGTGTCAGGAGCTGGGCCCCCATCTTCAAGACACCGAAGTTCCAGCACGAAGGTCTCGGTTGCCGGCCCCAGCTCCATCCTGGCAGTCAGACCGAGACGCCGGGGAGCCGGCTGTGCTGAGAGGAAGGAAGGGAGCTGCTTAGAGGGACAGGAGTCCCCAGCTCAGTGGCACTCACTGCCAGAGAGCCCTCCACCTGTGCCTCGCAGACCCCCACCCCAGAGCGGGCAGCTCCACCCCTGCTGAAAAGGGAGGCCCAGCTGCCAGGGCCCACTCCCCTGCACAGGGGCAGGCCCCACATTCAGGCCCCCGCCTAGGGGCCGTCGAGACAGCTGCTCCTTACTCAGAGACCACTGCGGGCATCAGGCCCTCCCCAAGATGGAGGGCCGGAGTCCCAGAAGGGACATCTGGGGAAGTTTGCAGAAAAAAGAGAGACTTGTCCATCTCGCACCCCCTGCCCCCTTCAAAGCACTGACAAGTCTGTTCACCTCCGTGGTCTCTTGCCTCCCAGACAACTCCCGGGGGCGAGCCCAGCTGTCCCCGGCCGCCGGCTCCAGGCCATGTCTGTCCAGGTGCCACCTCAGCCCCTGGGCCAGGCAGGTTTCCAGAGCACCACAACCCATGGGACCGGCGGCTGCCGGCCTGGCCCTGTGCCCAAGGGCTCCTGAGGTCTGGAGGGTTCCCCGCCTCTCTCCTGCGCCCACCCCGGGGCCCTGCGGAGGTGTCCCCACAACCAGTCCTCTCTCTCCTCCTAACAGGATGACTCCGAGTCCCTCTGGCGTTTCACGATCCGGCCCAAAACCTCTTAAGAGAAGCGTCCCCGGGCCGCCCAGCTCTCCCGCCCGCTGGGCCTCACCTGGTACAGCATTTCCTGCTCCGCACGCAGCCTCTGCACCGGGGGAGGTGTGGTCAGCAGGGGCTGGAAGGCGCAGGCCGGAGCGTTCAGCCAGCTCCTTCCTGAGGCGCCTCCATCCAGAAAGAGCCGGGGAGGCGCTGGGCCCCCCGGGGGCCTTTCTGGGCGCTCGGGAGGGGCTGCCGCCCTCAGGGGGCCGAGGTCGCCCCGGACCGGAGAGGGGGCCGAGCGGAGTTCCAGGGACAAGTTGGCGTCGGCTACCTGGCCGAGGGGTGGGGAGGAGGCAGCGCCCGAACCCGCGCGGGCTCAGGGCCGCCCGGGCGCGAGCATCGCGGGCGCCGCGGGCTCCGGGGGGCCCCGGGCGGGGGGGCCCGGGCTGAGGGCGGCGGGGGCCGGGGCCGCCCGGGGCCGGCCGGGAGCCGCGGCGGCCACAGGTGCCCGAGCCGGCGGGCGGGCGGCCTGGGCCGGGGTCCCCGTTCGCTCGCCCGCCCGCCCGAGCGCGCGTCCGGCCGGCCGTGCGTCCTCGCGGGCAGCGGCCGGGCCGGGGGCGGGGGCGGCGGGGGCCGGCACAGGAAGTCCCCCCGGCATCCGCATCCTGTCCCCCGCCCGCGCCCGCGCGCCCCCGCGCCCCGGCCCCCGCCGCCGCCGCCGCCGCTCTAGGCCGCGAGCTCGGTGGGCTTAACCCTTGCCGGCCCGGCCGCTGCCCCCGGCGCGCGCGAGGCGGGGGCCCTGCGGGGACCGGCCCTGCATCCCGGGGTGCGCGCGGCCGCGCCGGGCTGGGCGACGGTCGCTGCGCGGGTGCGGGGGGACGCTGCCTGCCACCCTCTGGAGGGCAGGCAGAGCCTCAGGGCGCCCCTGGCCCGGGTACAAATTGTGGTTAATTAGCACTCAATTAGATGGAGCTCAGTTAATGAGGATGCCCCATCCCGGGCTGAGCGGGTCCTGAAGAGGCCTCCTCCCTCCACGCCTGGGACCCCTCCTCCTGGACCCGGGGGTGGCGAGGACAGGCCTGCGGGGGGCGGGGGTTTGTGCCAGCCGGGGAGTGGGCTGGGACGCGAGAGGGCCACGTGGGGCCGTCGGGCCACCCACGTTAACTGGAGAACTAAGCACGTCCGTCTCGGTCCGGACTCCCTGCTCACCTTCTCTGTACGCAAGGCTGCGTGGTCTGGCCCCATCCCCGGCCCTGCCCAGGCCCCAATCCCTAGCAGCGCCCACCACTCCGGATGTGCTAAGCTGCTTCCTGCCTGCGTCAGGGGTCTGCTTCTCGTGGAGGCCTCAGGACCATCTCAAGACCCCATCACTTTGCCGTAGTATCCTCAATAGGCCTCTCCTATCCAGAGAGTTCCCATTAAACTCAGAATACTCAAATTCTCTCGAAAAAGCCAAAGGTCTGGTGGTGGAGAGCTGCTCCTGGAGTGGAGTGTGGGACTGCCCCATGGAAGGGGACACAGCCCTCATGTGGTCACAGCCCCTCCCTCCTTACTGCTTCCATGCTCACATCACTGCCGCGCATGCTGCCCCTTGTCCCAGTTTGTGATTCCTCCTGGCCCGCAGGTGCTGGGGTTTGGGGCTTCCCCTCTGGCCCTTGCTTGAAAAGCCTGTGCTCTGTGTGGGGGCTTCACCCCCAGACTAGGAGCTCCGGAGGGCAGGGGATCACATCTGCCTCACGGGGGAACAGTGCGGCAAGAACCTAGCTCTGGAGGCAGAAAAATCTGGGTTTGTGGGGCCCTCTTCCAGCCAGGTAACTTGAGGCAAAGTATTACCTTCCATCGGCGGAATGGGGACGGCACCCTGCTAGCCAGGAATTTAAGGACAAGTGAGTGTCTCCCTCCTGCCCAGAGCAGGCAGGCATCTTCCTCTCCCTGGGGAGACCTGGAGCAGAGCTGTCTCTGCCCTCTCCTGCCTCCTGGGAGCCTCCTCCCCAGAGGATCCAGTCCCTCCCTGAATCTTCAGCCTCTCCCTCTGCTGGCTTCTTTCCAACTGCGTTTGCTCATCCTCAGGACTCTCCCATCTTAGAAACATGCAACTCCTCTCTCTCCGTCCTTGGTGGCCAAACTTCCCATAAAGAGGCCGACCGGTAGTTTTGTCCGTATCCCCATCCGCCTCTCCCTCTTTCCCCCTCTCCAACTTGGCCTCCACCCCATCACTCCACCCCGACAGCTCCCTCTAATGTCACCAGTGACCTCCATGTCACTAAATCCCTCATCCTATTCCACCTCTCGGCAGCTTTGGACACTTTTCCAGTGGCTGCGGAGAGAGAGCACCCTCGGTTCCCCCTCCCTCTTGGCTTACCATCTCTCTGCCTCCTCTGCAGGCTCTGCCTCTGTCACCAGGCTCATTACTCACCTTTACATAATGAAAACCTGCAGTAAAGCGTCTTCCCAGATCCACAGTTTTCTCCCCAAGGGTGTTCCTCCTGTCCACACCTGAGCCCTGGATTCAAACAACAGCCACCCTTTTCCTTCCTCTTTTTCTCTTTAATTTTTCTCAAGGCAATACACATACTGAGTTGAATACGTCAACTAGTTGTACGAGGCTTTAGCAACCACAAAAATCTCTCTTTACCTCCCATTTCTTCTGATGTTTCTTGCCATATTTCTAAATAACATGCCTATAACGCTATTACTTGTTTTTTTCCGTCTTAGATACTATCTGTTGACATCCCACTTTGCAAGATGCAGATTTAACTGTTTAAACCACGCATACACATGCATCCTCTCCCTCTCAGCCTCCTCTTTACAATAATTTGTCTAGTCTTTATCCAGTTTTCAGAAATAGAACTTCTGAACCCTTGGAATTTCCCCAATTACAGGAATGTCTCTGTTATTCACGGTGGGCCTGCAAAAAGCTTCAGGATGGCATCACACCAGAAAGACCAACTATATGATTACAAGGTTGGGGCTTTGAGCCAGTGATAGCAACCTGACCTCTGGGGAGGGGAGGAGGCTGGAGATTGAGGTCAATCGCATGGCCAATGATTCAATCAATCATGCCCATGCAATGAAACCACAATAAAAACTCTGGACACCAAGGTTCAGGTGAGCTTCCTGGTTGGTGATAAACACTCCAGGAGGGTGATGTATTCTGATTCCACAGAGAGAGGACATAGAAGCTCCATGTTCCGGACTCTCCCAGACCTTGGATCTCTTCATGGGCCATGGCTTGTCCTGCTTTGTGTCCTTCGTAATTAAAATATAATCATAAGTATAGCACTGTCCTGAATTCTTTGAGTTGATCTTGGGAATTATTGAACCTGAGTGGCTCGCAGGAACCCTTGGATTTGTAGCCAGTTGGTCAGAAGTGCAGTTGGCCTGGGGACCCTGGGACTTACAGCTGGTGTTTGAAGTAAGGGCAGTCTTATTGGGGACCATGCATTTAACATGTTGAGTCTGTGCCAGCTCTGGCGGTTAGCGTTATAATTGCAGTCAGTACTGCACCTCTCAATGCAGAGTTGAGTTGAGAATCGGTTTTGTGTAAATCCATGTTTACTGTTTCCATAATTACATCTATGTAGTGTTCACTGCTGAGCCCATTAAAACTATTTTTATGTTTCCTTGTACAACTCTTAGCTCTTCCTAGAGTTCATCACTCCTCTTTTACTTATTCATTTTTTTTCCTTTGATTCAGTCTTAGAATCTACTGATGTCTTCCCACATCCTCCTTTGGCTCTACAAATGCCTCTCAACCCAACTTTCCACAGGGTCTAACTGGTCAGAAAATCCGTTTGTTTCCAGACACATCCCTTCTAGAGCCTCCTTCCTTTGGATTCAAATTGGGCAGGTTGCCCTCAGTACTGCTGCCATTAGCCTGGGACATTCCATTACTATCATTCTGGAACTTTCCTTTGACTCTCTTACTCTCTCTCTTGCATTAATCTCTGTTTCTTTACACCACCATCTTTCTCCTTCTTGATCAACTCATTGTAATAGAGACACTTAATGCTCACCAAATATCCCAGGGGCTCCCCTATATTTCCAAGTCTTCCATGCAGTTAAATTGGGGTTACATGATTCATTTGGCCGAAGGACTGTGAAAGGAAGTGGCATATCCCACTTCTAAGCCAAAGCTCTTAAGAGCTGGTGTGCCCCCTCCACCTCGCTCCTCTCCTGCCATGTGGCCTTGGAGGACATGTGCTCCAGATGGTGCGACCACAAGATGGTGGAACCTCAGTTAGCCTGAGCCCCTGAAAGTCCAGTCAGGAAAACAGCAGAACTCTTAAGTAATTAAATATCACATTTAATACAGGAAAATGGTTACAAACACGTTAAAAGGGCTGCAGTATGACCAAGGAGAAGATGGGACTACTCAGAGACTGGTACCCCCAGGACTAGAGGAGAAAAGGGGAAAATGAGACTAGAGAGCCACAATCCTGTACGACTGAGGCTGTTGTAGCCACGGTTGGAACTGTGAGACCTAAGCAAGAACCCACGAGCCCAGACTCACCAGCCACTGGAGGCACCAACCACCAGAAGCAGGAAAGATCTCTTCCATCCCAACTTCTGATCTCTCCTGAGTACTTCCCATTAGCAGAGTATAGCCTGAGGCCAGCTGGCAAGGGAGCCTGGGAAATGTAGTTTGCCATCTTCCAGCCTCCCGTAACACAGAGCGGCGGGTGGAAGTGTGGGAATTGAGTCAAGAGGCAACAGACAAGTAACTGCCAGGTTTAGTGACTTTGTAGAGAAGAGCCGCCTGCCAACCCGTGTTGGAAATGTAGACGTTTGGGAGCTAAGCCACTGAGAGGAATGCTGTAGCTAGCATTGATTATGCTGACCTTGGTTTGGGTGGAGCACATTCTTTAGTGGTCTTCCTGAGAAAGACTGTACGGCAACAGAATTTTGGGAACCCTCGTGTCTAAAAAGTCTACATTCTCACATGTAACTGGGTATGGATTATAGACTGGCAATTGTTTCTCCTCAGAATTTTAAAGACGCTGTTTCATTGTCTTTTACCTTCCATTGTTGCTGCTGAGGATGTCCGGTGCCATTTAGAAACCTGACATTCTGCATGTGGCTGATATTTTCTCTCTGAAAACTTGTACAGTTAAATATTTTTTTTAAAAAAACTGTATTCTGAAATTCCATGATGATAGACCCTCAGGCAACCACATCAATCTGGAAACATGTTTTTCTGTTCTGAGAAATGAATTTGAGTTATTTATTTGATAGTGTCCCCCTTCCGTTTTCTCTTTTCTCCTTTCCTGGAATTTTGATTATTCAAATGTTGGCCCTTCTGATCCTCTAATGCCATTTTAATTTCTCTTCCATTTTTTCATCACTTAAGCTCTCAGTTATACTTTCTAGAAGATTTCTCTTCATTATCTTCCAAGCTTTCTGTTGAATGTTCTTACTCCTGCTCCCTGTCT